CACCGAATCTACTTTACCGCATACTATGCAGTCTACTTTACTACTGCACATTTACACACTATGCAGTAAAACGGTCATGACTAACGGTCACATTGAATGTGACGTGACGGTCATGACCGTCATGACCCGCCGTCATGCGCGCTGGTCATGACTCACTAACATCACTGCTAATGTATAATGTAAGAATTATACTTGTGATTTTGGCAGTTTGATGACATATGTTATTCCCCCAGGAAATAATGATGAGTAGCGGGATTATTGGTCATTATTCCTCAAAAGTGTCAGTGTCAAACGTGTTGTGCTATGGTGTAGTGCTTGTGGATTTGTATTGAGAATTTAGATGGATGAAATTTGTTCATTAAAAATCTCAAATAAATTAAGTAATTTGTCGTAAAAAAGTAGAGTATACTACTCGCAATAATGGCTATTATTTCCTCGGAATGTTACTCCCTCGCCGCTAACGCGGCTCAGTGCGTAAATAATCCTCGGGAATAATAGCTATCAATATTGACTCGTGGTATAATCTACTATTATCATGTGGAAATTAATAAAAAAAGTTACTTTACTCAATGAATACTTTTCCAATGTAAGAATTTGTAGCCTAGTGAATTAGAGGAACCAACTTTCGAAAAGTCAACTTTCTCATCTATTCATTGTTCATCAAAATGCGCGAACAAAAAACGATAGTCACAATATAGAATAAATTTTTGAGCTGATGATAATACATAGATATTTTTAACTGTTTAAGGACCGGTTTATTCATATTCAGATAAACTCACTGATAACTATGTCCACAAGAATCATTCACCAATCTCTAATCCTATTGGTCGGCGGATAACTGGCCGACCAATGGGATTACAAATTGCGTTTTTATCTCTCAGATTGCATTACCTGACAGTTTATCAAAAGATGAATAAACCAAGCCTGAATAAGAGTTATTTATACCTTATTGCCTTTTTGAATACTTTTCTTCTTTTATCGTCTCCCGTATTTACCTGCAGGAAAGGTCTCTAGAAATTCCATTTTCCGTCAAAATGTCTGATGTAGGAATCTTAACTTATCTAGCAATCTGATATATTTATTTTGGAACACACTTCGCGCTTCTTTCCTGTTAAAAACGCACCCTTCATAATAATTAAGCACTGAATCTTGCGGATTTAAATGCGCTCTTCAATTAACCTAAATAGATTTTTTTTCTAAAATAATTAGGGATGCCAATAATAATTGATTCAATTAAAAATTACATAGAGTTTTCTTTATCCCGCCCGTCGATGCAATACCCTGTATAGCGATCCATATTAATCTGAATAGCTGTACAATACAATACAAAATAATTCTGCTGACGGTAAATAAATATTTACCAGCCAAAAAGACTCCATATTGGTCTAAATTGCTGTATATTATAATATAAACTCATTTTGCTAATGGTAAATAAATATTTACGAGTCAAAAAGACTCAAAATCGATCGATGCTGGTCTGGGCCGTTGTTTATTACTTAATAAGATTCTGCTGGCGGTAAATTGATTTTTACCAGTCAAGAAGGATCCATATTGGTCTTAATCGCTCTATAATATAGACTTATTCTGCTATATCGATCGATGCTGGTCTGGGTCGTTGTATTACTAGATAATACGATTCTACCAGCGTCACCCGATATTCGTACAGAAGTTTTATTGAGTGGATAGTTTGTCTTGAATTTGTCGTGCAGAAAAAAATTGTCGGGTTTTTTTTTAAGTACCCTTTGGTAGTGCTAGTTTGATATCAAGTTAGCACTACCAACGTCACCCGATATTCCTACAGAAGTTTTACTGAGTGAACAATTTGTCGCTTTTTTGTCGTGCAAAAAAAAAAATCGCCTCTATAAGGATAAGAATTGCTGAAAATTTCAACTTTCTATCTACCTATAATAGAAAAAAAGTTATGACCTTTCAAACTTTTCAGAAATTTAAATCCTAAGGTTTGCCTGGCAAAGTTCTTTAGCATTCGGCTATTCTTATATGACCCAGTAGGCTCAATCCACTCGGAATCACATTGTGCAGCTGACATCGAACAGCAAATCATAATTCAACCATTTCTCGCCGGCATTCGGTAGTGCCCCACTGCTACACTTACCTTAAATAGTATAATCGTGCAACAAATGAGATCCTAACCTATTATGGCGTACGGCTTCCCCGGGGACACCAATTACCAAAAAGAAATAATCAAACCGGAAATTGTTGGCCTGGATGTTAATGAAACGCAACTTCAATTGGCACAAAATGATAATCATTTAAAAAGGAAGTTATTGAAAACATTTACAGCCAAATGCTCAAAGCTCAATACCAAATTTGCTCAACTAAGAGTAGCGTACCAAAGTTCTGATTTCTGTACCCTATCACTCCTAAAAAAAACAGAAGGTAATTTCCTTTGAAAAGTTTATAAGTGCATAAAGGGACTTTTCTAGGACCTGTGGTGTGACTGAAGGGCAGGATAAGAAGGCTATAAATAGATGTTTGTACTTATGAAATTTAATAATTTGTACACTCATCAATTATTAGAAAATTCGGTCAAGAATGCTCACTAAACTCGAAATGCTTATATAATTATTATTTTCTTTAAGAGTGCGCTTCTCGATGCTGAAAAAATAGGTATTTCGCGTTTGCGACTATGCTGTTTTAATAAAAACAGTTGCATCTAGGGAATTCTAACAAAAACTGTTTTTAAGACTGTACTTTTGTGCGTGCTTGTTCAGTAATTTTTTTTTTGATTTTTCTCATTTTTTGAAAAAAAAAATTCATAAAATGGGAAAAAACGAAAAAATTTTACTGGTCAAACAAGCACATAAACATATCCTTGAAAAAAGTTTTCGGTTAAAATTTTCTAGATGCAACTGTTTTTTAATAGCTTATTTCACTGCCGAATTCCGAATGACGAAAATTAAAATAGATAAGAAAAGAAAGGAACAAGCTTGTTAACATTACCCTGGTCACCTTTTTTTTTATTACTTCATAGTCACAGTCATAGTGATGATTCATCGATCAGATAAGTATAATAATATTGAAATAATAAATTCTTGCTAAAATGCACGAAACATCAATTTCAGATTGTTTCGAAAATGTGTTGAAAAAACCTGGAATAATTCTGATTTTGAGATTTGAGAATGATCCGAGGAATGATCATTATTCAAGCGGCTAAAATTGCCAAAGCAATTATCATTCTTTTTTTATGAAGGTACCAACTGAACTTATCCTATGCATCAGTCAAAAAGATAAAATAATATTCTGCTGGCGATAAATAAATTTTTACCAGTCAAGAAGTCTCCATATTGGTCTAAATCGCTCTATATTATAATATATAGACTTATTCTGCTAGCGGTAAATAAATATTCACCAGTCAGAAAGACTCAAACTAGATCAATGCTGGTCTGGGTCGTTGTATATTACTAGATAATACGATTCTGCTGGTAGTAAATAAATATTTACCAGTCAGAAAGACTCAAAATCGATCGATGCTGGTCTGGGTCGTTGTATATTACTAGATAATACGATTCTGCTGGCGGTAAATAAATATTTACGAGTCAAGAAGTCTCCATATTGGCCTGCTAGCGGTAAATAAATACTTATAAGTCAAAAAGAATCGAAATCGATCGATGAAACCAGTCTTTAAACAGTTAAAAATATATATGTATTATTGTCACAACTGCCCGCTTTACGGGGGTGACATGGGGGGTTTGTAGCTTTGGGGGTCGATGGAGAGAAACTCGCTCAAGTTATATAAAAAGGTAGATATATATTTTCCAAATATACCCTCACATATACACTAGTCCTATAAGATGCATGACCCTTCGAACACTGGGGTCCTTATAGGGAGCCACACGTCAACGCTGCTTGGGGGACTGTCAACTTGTTATCGTCACCCTTATGCCTTGTCCAGAGGGGCTTTCCCAACGAGAGGTAATTGCACTGGACAACGATAAGGGTGAAGATACCCAGAGGGACTTTCCCAACGAGAGGTACTTGCACTGGGGAGACTTAATTCCAGAGGGGCTTTCCCAACAAGAGGTAGTTGCACTGGTTTAAGTCTGCCTTTGCTGCGGCTTGCAGCGCAATTTATATCCGTTTATTGCTGAATTGCAATAAACATCCGATCGAATCGGCAATTAAATTAATAAGGTTGAATACCGGTCCTCCTTTCCTAAGCAGCTAGTTGACATTATCATCAGCTCAAAAATTTATTCTATATTGTGACTATCGTTTTTTGTTTGCGCATTGCTCTGTTTGTGTACATTGAATGCATGAAAAAGTTGACTTTTTGGAAGTTGGTTCCTCTAATTATCTGATCAATAAAATAGCCATAGATTTTCATGCATAATTAACTTGATTAAACATAAAAATAATACATAATAACATTTTTCTGGTAGGTAGCTTGAATGTCAGGCTGATATTATGGCATTTTTTCGAAACCGGCAAGAGTAAAAAAATTAGAAATATGGTAAATAATTAGCAACAAAATAGCAACAAATTCCCCACTTTTTTTTTATTCCGCCGGAAAATTGATTTTTTTTTCTGCTAGTTTGATATCAAGCTAGCAGAGTTGCATTTTTTCAAGATCGGCAAGAGTAAAAAAATCAAAAATATGGAAAATAATTAGCAACAAATTCTCAACCAAATTTTTTCGAATTCTGCTGGGGTTGTCATGCTAGGAAGACAGACATGCAGCCCAAGTATATCCAGTTTCTCAAGAAGCTTCCCGCAGTTGTTCTGGCCACACGAAAATTGTGCTTAAGGTAGCAGTTGCTCTCGTATCGTACAGCAATTGTAACATAATTTTGAAGCTGCTTATAGTCTTTTCAGTGTTGTTTGGGTCTTTTGTGAGAAGGAATCTAACATGTGATAGTCCCTTATTAAGTTTTTCATGTAAACAATTAACAAATTAGCAGTTTTTTACTTGAGAGGTTTTAATTTTGGTATACTCATCTGTTGTATAATTCCGAAACAAATTGTATCTTTTAATATTTCAGGGAGACTGAGGAAACTTCCTTATATTTTGTCTTGCAACACAGGAAAGGACATGGGTTAGTTAAAGGATTTTCTTCACTTTTGGTCGGTACCATAGACAGTATTTTAGATACTAAACCACCTCCCTATAGGATTTTACATCAGACACCCAATTCTGAGGTTTACTTGTGTGAGTGAAGAAAAACAAAATTTTCCATTGCAAATAGTTAAATACCTAACTAAATCTTTAGTGGTGGCTTGTGCGATGACGAAACATGAAATCCTTAAAGATTGGGAATGGCTATTCTCCAATGTATGTGCAACTTTGCATTCTTTCGAGAGTGAAGATGATATTACCGATTTTGTGAATTGCAAAATTGAATCAGTAATTGCAGCATGCCAAGAGGTGGAAATAGAAGGTAATAAACTTCAAATATTTATTCTTAAATCAATAATATAGTTAGATTAAATTAATATACATGCGAGTATGCATGTATCCTTAGATTATCAACAAAATATTTGTTAAAATATTATGAATCAAACTTATAAAAATGTATGAATATCTTTAATCTTTTAGTTCATTAAATATCCATCGACATCTAATTTATTCGATACAATTATCAATTTTAGATGAGGATTCAAAATCATTCAAATTAACTTCAGAAAAATTCCAGAGGCTATTTGGCTTACCAAAGGATGAAAAATTAGTGAATTATTATTCCTGTAGGTAAGTGAATTGCCTTAAAATTTCCAGTAAATTTAAACACACCTTATTTCCCTGCAGAAAATTGAAATTTAACTCTTCTGATTTAGTCAATAATTAGATCAAAATATTATCCAAATAGCCAAATATATTAAGATCAAGTTTCTGTAATCAATTTTTTTTTCTGCATCTGAAGATCTATCACAGCTTCTTACAAGCTCAGCAATAAATATTCCCTAATGAACATGTCACATTGGGAACTTCAGCCCCAACTACACAAGTGCTGTACTTGTTCTGTATTTCTCATTTTAATTTTTTTATATCATTTTTTTTTTAGTTACTGGAAGGGAAGATTGCCAAGGCAAGGCTGGATGTATCTATCTATAAATTATTGCTGTTTTCATGCATTTATTTTGGGTATGGATACCAAAGTGTGTATAAGGTGGTCAGAAGTTACCGAATTAAGCAAGAAGAACAGCTTAGTTTTTCCAGATGCGATAAAAATAGCTACAAGGGAAAAGGAGTATTACTTTAGTATGTTTCTAACTAAAAATGAAACATACAGTCTTATGGAACAATTGGTGGACTTAGCGGTCAAAAGGTACCTACTCCATAACTTTCCTTTGGGACCTTAAATAATATCAATATTATTATTTTTAATTACAGGTTAATAGATGATAAAAAAGGTTTTAGAGAAGATAAGGAACTTTTGAATAAATTGAGGTAAATTCATCTATAAATTGGATTGTAACCTAAAATCTTACCTGTGTATTGTCTTTTAGTAAGAATGTTCCTAAAAAAGCGTCTTTTCTTAAACGTGATCTAGATGCTAGGGCACAGTCTGAAGCATACAGAATGATGTTTAGGCTACCATCAAGTGAAAAACTGGATGGTTCCATCGATTGTACGTTGATGACCCCTTACAATAGGAAACATGTTGCTGGTAGATTATTCTTGTCCCAAAATTATATATGTTTTGAAAGTAGGGTAAGTGAGCTCCAACAAAAAGCTTTTGAATTTGTACTAACAATTAACAATATTAAAATTTTGCGTAAAAAATTGAGTGGCCATCTAATATCAAATCAATTTTACAGGTAAAAGCACAAGTAAGTGTGGTTATTCCTTTGAGAGATGTGATAGTTGCTGAAAAAATAGAAACAAATTCATCAAATCAGGCTTTGGATAAGGCTATTATAGTTACTACAGGAAATTCTTTGAGTAGGACCAACTTTATTTTTGCACAAATTTTGGATCGTGACTTTGTTGTCGAAAAACTGTCGGAGCTATTGGCCAGAACTCAGGAATTGCAAGTGTAAGTAGGATAATTGTCTTTTTTTGCTTTAATAATGACTATGTTCATTTCGCGCGTTGTATCCTGATAATAAAAGGATTGGAATAATAATGGGGATTATTAATCTTGAAATAAAGATCCCGGATTAGTTAGTTCATCCGGATCGGAGTACTTAATCCAATCCTCCAAATTTGAAGGATTGGACTTAAAATGCTATATCTCAAATTTGAAATAAACACCTTGAATCTCTGAATTAAGAAGTTTCAGAAGGTAAAACAAAAGTCAAAGTCTCAAATATGTATATTTGAAGTCTCAGAGAACCATGGACTATTTCTTCGAATTTAAGAAGTTACTAACTTCAAGAAAAAATGCCATTTGTCATTTGTAATTTTTTTGAGGGTTGATATTATTTAGTTTTATTTGAATATTTTTTGATAAAAAACCGGTGTGAGATAAGAAAATGTTAACCTTTTAATTGTTAATTAAAACTGTTTTTCATTATTGTTGCTTCTAATGAAGTTAGACACAAAACAATTTGCGCTTGCGCTTTTTACAAGGCTCAAGAAAGGATTAGCACTAATCTTAATCCATGTGATAGTTATAGATTAAACGAATATGGATTAATAATCCTTAACCCATTTAATATCCTGATACAACGTGTGAAATAAATTTAGTCACTGTTGAGGATCCTCTCATCAACATGCATTATATATCTATAAGGTGTAGTTTTGCTAGACTCAATTGAAAGAGGCAGTTTCACAATGACTGCTCAACATTTTAAAAAACCTCATGATCTCTTGCTTATAGTTATTGATTGATTTTATCTAATAAAAAAAAGTCTTATGTTGAATATAATGTACAGGCCGTCAAGACAAACAAAAATCTAACATTGATAACCTGATTATCTATCATATGCGTGGGGAAACGTCTTTCTTATTATGTTGATTTTTTTTGAGAATAGAATTTTGGATGGCATTAAGTTGTCTCAACGCACTGTTATAATAATCCACCTCATATTAAGATACCAGGATACCTGATCAATGATTTTACAAGCGATGTAAACAAAATCGCCAGCCTTTTGGGTATTATTTCAAGTAGTTGATACGATTTGTGTATTAATTTCCTAACTTTATTGTATTGTACTTGCAGCATAATTATTGATTGAATGGCGAAATGGTTAGAAACTATTTCGGTTAATAGTTAATGAGAGAGATTAATTAACCAATAGCCAATAGGTACTATTGTATTACCACAATTTAAAATAATATTAGTGCATAAATCGCTTGTGTAATAACCAGAACAAATAGTATAATTAGGTCATGTCTAAATGTTTGATAACGTTTCAAATTTTGTTTTGCAGGTTTAAATCTGACAAATCAGAAGCGAGACTTGTAAGCGATGACGAAATATGGAAACCCCAAAAATCTCTTATGGGGATGTTTCCTTTAAGCCCTATTCCAGAAGTAAATAGAAGGCAGCAGCAGAAAGCGAAAGAATGGGAGGAACATTTCAATACCTATGGTAGAGGCGTCTCTATGTACAGAACCACCGAAGTAGCAAAATTGGTATTGGAGGGTATTCCTGATCATCTCAGAATGGAAATATGGATGTCGTTTTCAGGTCAGAACTTAGGCTCCTCTCTTAGACTATAAATAACTCCATTCGTTTTTTTAGGGGCTTTAAATGTCAAGGCCTCACATCCTGGTTATTATCGTTCTCTAGTAGATAGAGCGCTGAGACAGCAATCAACAGCGAATGACGAAATAGAAAGAGACTTACATAGGTGAAATAAACATAGTTTTTTTTAATTACCAACTATAATATTATATTTACTTAATAGATCTCTCCCAGAACATCCAGCATTTCAAAATGAAATTGGGATAGATGCCTTAAGAAGAGTTTTATGTGCTTATGCACTCCATAACCCCAGCATTGGATATTGTCAGGCTATGAATATAGTTGGTTAGTTGATGAATTGAAATAATAAATTCCTTCTACCAACTAAACTACTCAGTAATAGGTTCGTTCCAAGCGTACATTTCATCAGTTTTTGAGACGCGACAACTTTTTAATGAATTAACGGAAAAATATGCCGTTTCCACCATTTTTGAAAGCGATTCCTTGTTAATCATCTGCGAATGATTATTATGTTCATCCCTCGAAACGTTTTTGGTTTTTTTCTTATATCTTTTTTTGTTTATAAAATAATGCAAATTTAGTGTTATAATGACACCCAGAGCTTCAAACCCATCGTGAACAAGTTTGAGCAGTGACTTTTAGGATCTGCTAGTTTAAATTTACTTGCTATGATCACAATTAAAACTAACTGACGTAAAATACAGGGTGTGCGAGGATACTTTAAACTTGAAATTTCTAGTTTTGCATAATTTTGCCATTTTCTACAGAAAAGAAAGTGTCACGGACGGAAAATAAATTTTGAGTTACTTTGAAGGATTTATATCACTTCTGCAATGTAATTCCAAAAAACAGTTGCAAAGTTTTTTTTGTCATCCATTTTTTCAGGAAGTTACGTCATAATTTGTAAACCTATCAAACAATTGTTTCCTCAATTTCTTGATATTTTATGTCATCAACAGGTCCTAAAAGAATGATTATTTTTTCTTGCTAACATTTTGGACGAATTTTTACTTGGGTGTCCTCAAATCATCACCCAGTGACTGCATAGTCTCCTTTGAATTTCGCAATTTAATAAAGGTAGGTATTTAATTTGTTTATTTTGTGAAACCGATCATACAGTGAGTGGCATCATCTAAAAATATATGATTTGGAGACACCCTGTACACAAATGATAATTTGTCCAAAATGTTAGCAAGTGAAAATTATTATTCTTTTAGGCCTTATTGATGGCAGCAAACATCAAGAAATTCAGGAAACAATTGTTTTATAGGTTTACAAATTATGACATAGGTAACTTTCTGAAAAAACCGATGACAAAAAAAACCATGAAATTGTTATTTGGAATTACATTGCAGAAGTGACATAAAGCCTTCAAAGTAAGTCCAAATTTCTTTTCCGTCCTTGACACTTACTTTTCTGTAGTAAATGGCAAAATTCAAAATTATGCAAAACTTGAAATTTCAAGTTTAAAGTATCCTCGCACACCCTGTGCGTTTTGTATGAAGCTTTTTTACGTCATTTAGTTCAAATTGTGATCATAGCAAGTAAATTTGAACCAGGGAATCCTAAAACTTACTTCTTAAACTTGTTCACGATGGGTTTAAAGCTCTGGGTGTCAATATAACACTAAATTTGCAATATTTTATAAATAAAAAAAGATATAAGAAAAAATCCTGTAAAAATAACTGTAGAAATGGGGTGGCAACAAAAAATTTGTATTTTTACAGCACTTCCTATACCACCCTGTATAAAAAAAAAAACACTCAAATTCTATTTTTTTTTTGTGTGTAGACCAGATTAACAAGGAATCGCTTTCAAAAACTGGTTAAAATTATGCTTGGAACAAACCTATTGTTGAGTAGTTTATTTAGCTAGACAGGTCATCTATATCGTACAACATGTGTAATTTCAATCAATATGATAAGCATTTTAAATTGCCTATCGCTTTTCTAGAACAATGTATTTTTTTATAACAAATACTTATTTTTAGCATCGGTAGTTCTCATATATTGCAATGAAGAAGAAGCGTTTTGGTTATTGGCCACATTATGTGAGAATTTGTTGCCAGATTATTATAACCAGAGAGTAGTTGGGGCTGTTGTAGACCAAGGCATTTTAGATGAGTTAACTTTAGAATATTTGCCTAGTTTACATGATAAATTACTCCAATTAGGTAGGCATATTTCGGATTAATAAATTCAACATATATTCGTCTAATATTTCTCTTAGGCATGATGAATATGATTTCATTATCATGGTTCCTAACTATATTCCTTTGTGTGATGCCTTATGAATCTGCTGTTAACGTTATGGACTGTTTTTTCTATGATGGTGCTAAAGTAATTTTTCAAGTCGCCCTGATGTTGTTGGACTGGAATCAAGCGAAGTTGCAACAATGTAAAGATGAAGGTACCTAGATATAAATTTAAAAAAAAAAATATAATCAATAATTTTTTTTTTTTACACTATTATCATAGGTGAAGCCATGCAACTTCTGTCAGAGTTTTTAATGGGCATCTTCAACGATCAAGGGCGAGGTGCTATTAGGAATAAGAGTTATGATGAACAGAAACGGGTAAATAAATTGATTATAATCATTGAAATATTTTTACCAATTTTTTAAAATTACCTTTTAATTTTAGACAGTTTCGATACAAGTCTTAGTATATGAAGCGTATAGAAAATATGGATTTTTAACGACAGGTCAAATAGAGAGATTAAGGCTGAAGCATCGATTACGAGTCGTGCAAGATCTTGAGGATACTTGCGAAAGAAACGTTTTGAGATGCGTCTTGGGTGATGGTTATTTCACCAAATCAGAGCTACAAGATTTATTGGGTCTAGTTAGGGAAGAGATTATATGTCAAAAGAAACACATTCCGGATAAACATGATCCCACCTTGCAACCTTATGAAGCATACAAAGTGGATTTTGATTATTTCAAGATTTTATTTGCCGCTTTGTCGCCCTGGGGTAAAGGAGAAACCGCTGAGTCATTAGCTGCTAGAATATTTAACGTGAGTTGAACATATTGTTGTAGGTTTTTGGAGAAGCGTCTATTTAAACAAATCTTTTTTGTATATATCTTTCAGCTTATGGACTGTAATTGTGATGGGTACCTAAATTTCCGTGAATTAGCTGCCGCCTTGGGCCTCACCTCTACAGCAGAGGCCTCTCAAAGACTGAAACTTCTGTACACCATACATCTGCCTCCTTTACTGAACATGTCTGACATCGAATCGCCTGTTAAGCACGAATCAGGAGCAGAAATAGCGTCAGAAGCTACCGACTTTTTCAACAGCGTAGAGAAGAGCATGGATCATTTGGGAATGTTGGATGATCTTTCACCAGTCACACCTCAGAGCAGTAGTGGGTTCCAATGGCAGTAAGTTGAGTTCTGGTCTCCTCGATTTGTTTTTTGCGGTTCTTTTTGAATTACAGTCTACTTTACGAGAACACTTACATTTTTTTAAATTATTTTTTCTGTGAAGAATATTAATAATAATAATAATAATAATCCTTTATTTAGCACATGGCTAGTACCTACATAAAAAACCAACAGAAAATACACATGCAAATTCTTACACATCTATAAGATCTGACAACTAAATTATTACTTATTTCGCACAAAGGAAAGAAAAAACAATAAATAAAGTGTATACTCCCTACTCCCCTAAAAATCGCTAACATGAAAAAATTACAAAACAGAAATATGAAAAAAATGGTCATTCACCCTGCAAGTGACTCTTCAATCTATTTTTTTTGCAGATAATTAACCCCTTATGATAGACTGCCCTTTCTGAATAACTTTTATTTTTCCTTTTAACATAAAAATTATCCTTATTTCGTGTTGGATATTCATGAGTTAGTGAGGAGTATCAGTCAAATAGTTCGGCGCTAGCCAATTTTTTATTTTGTAAATATTCACCAACACCTGAAATTTCAAAATTTTTCTATAGAAAGCCAATTTACCTTATCTAACATTAATTTTATGGGTGTATCTCTTTTTTTCTCCCAAAATTATCCTCATGGCTCTATTTTGCTAATCTATTTATTTCATTCTTGTTCGCCAGATATAGCACAGTTGAACCATACACTAAAGTGGGATAACACCAAAGTATTGAAAACCGCCATCCTTGATCACTGTGTCAAAAACCTGGACACTCTATACAAAAAATTAATGTTTTTTGTTAATTTGCCAATTGTACATATTATATGTTCCTTAAAGTTGAGTGCTCTTTCAACTATAAAGCCCAGATACTTTATTTGCTCCACCAATTCGACTTTATTCTGTTCAATAAATATGTGAAAATCACCTGCCCTGTATTCATTTTGATATCTGGAATTCCCGATCAACATAAATTTTGACTTGCTGTTATTCAACCTAAGTGAATTTGAATCGAACCACTTATTTAATTCGTTCATATCCAAATTAATTTTATCAACCAAACATTGCAAATCCTCTGAATAAAAATATATGAGTGTATCATCTGCAAACAAATGAACCGAACAGTATTTTATGGCCACCCCAATAAATAAATAAATAAATAAATAAATAAATAAATGTTTATTAACGGACCAGCCATTTACAGAAATTGGACTAATACTAAAAATAAGCATCAAAAATACAATAATCAAACAATATAACATATAGACATATCAGTTAAATCAGTTAATACAGTCCCCAGCATCACATTAACACCAATTCAAAAATTAAAGTTGTTAAAAAATGAATAGAAAATAAGTACAAGTTAAAAGATTAAAATTCAATAAAACTAGTTTATAGGTATCACAGGCTCGATCACAGGATATTTTTTATTTTTGCGCCAAACACATTTAAAGAATCATTAAAGATGTCTACATCACCATTTGCAAGCAATTTATTTGCTCTATCTGAAAAGCGTGTCAGAGATGAAGATAAACCATAATTCGTTCTATGAAATGGAACATTAAACAGGTTTACCCCTCTCAGATTTCTCTGTGGCACTTTAAGCCCTAACAAAGATAGCAATTCTGGACAGTCTATGTAGCCGTTTAAGATTTTATATGAGGTTCACATATCAATATATTTTCTCCTATTGCTGAGAGTTGTAAGATTAAGAGAGTTAAGTATTTCTTCATATACAATATTCTCACTTGGTATACCCAATTTAAACCCAACAAACTTCACAAACCTCTTCTGCACTCTTTCAATTTGTTGAACATACTGACCATAGTAAGGAGACCAAACCTGACAAGCATATTCCAAAATTGACCTTATGTAAGAGCAAAATAGAGTTTATTTTATTTATTTATTTATTTATTCAATCCTTAGTCCATCTGATACATTGGTATATTGGATGTGTCGATTACACTAGTATAAACATTAAAGCTATTACTATAAATATTAAATAAATTTGAATAAAATGTCAGATTTATAAAGATATGCACATTAAGTACATTTGTCGTTACAATAAATTGATTTTTTTTAACAAATTACACAGTACTACATAGCATTTCACGCAGAGCAACAAATAACAAAATATTCAAAATCACATGAACCAACATTACAATACACAAAATGATATTTAAAAGTTTACATTAAAAAATTGATTGTGGTTGTAAAGAGGATTATCCATAAGCACAGCCTTAATCCTATTCTTAAAACTATTAAAACCTTGGATGTTTCTTACATCTGCAGGAAGATAATTGTATGCTTTTGTAGCCATATAAAGTGGAGATGACTGAAATAATGATGTTTTGTGAATAGGGATTGTTAACTTTTGAGAAAATCTGGTTTTGATTCCCTTGTTAATTTCACTATTGGTTTTAAAATAACTTTGATGTTTTCTAACAAACAACAATACCCTATAAAAGTATAAAGAATACATGGTCATCAGTTCGTATTTTCTAAAGATTGGGACAGCATGATCATTCCATTTAGCTCTATCCAAGACACGTATCAAGCGCTTCTGGAGTAAAAACAGTTTTTCAATTTTAGATGTTGATCCCCAAATGATGATTCCATAGCTGATGCGACTCATTACATGTGAATGGATGTACAATAAGGTTGTTTTTGCATCTAATTCTTGTTTCAAGTTTTTTACAGCAAAACATGATGTCGCTAGTCTTTTAGCAAGAGTTCTAAAGCAATCAATACTACTAAAGTCTTGCAGAGTTCTTTTAACAAAACCCAGCAATTTTAATGCTCTATTAGTTATATAGTTAACATGAAAGTTGAAACTCAAGCTACTGTCAAAAAAAACACCTAGGTCTCTTAGCTCTTCTTTACTTTTAAGTGAAGTATTATCTAGGGAATAATCGAATTCAATAATATTTTTCAATCTATAAAACCTTACAATAAAACATTTATCGACATTTACCCAAGTAACAACAGCACGTGAAAATGACGTTAAATACTGGTCATCAAGTGACGAGAAATGACGAGCTAAATGACTTAATTATGACGTGAAAATGACTTCCTAATGTCTGGGACGAATGACGTCATAGTTGGTACGTCATTTTTACGTGTTATTTGACGTCAAGTTTATGAGTTATTTAACGTGATATTGGCGTATTAATAACGTTCCATTCGCGTGATATCTATTTTATAAATGACGTCATATTTACCTGATATATTTTCTATAAATCCTTGTTTTTTCAAATTTATATGACCTGTAACGAAAATGAACCAACACTATATCACTTTTGAGAAAAATATATTTAAAAAAAGACAATATAAATATTCTGTAGGCGTATTAAACATATTACTTGTAGTACTTGCTAGGTGAGGTAACAACCAGACACTTACCTGTTGGTCCATAAGTTGGCCCTTAGGTGAACAAGCAATAATAATAATGTATATTATAATATAAAATAAGGTATATTAAAACAAAAGACATATACTTACGGTTGGTGATTGTTATTAGTCTCAACACAAACACGTGAATAAAACTCACATTCATATAGAGGCGTTTCACTTGGATGCAGCAGGATGATTCTGAAGAGAAATTAAAACCGAAAAATATATCAAGAATTAATAATTCCACGCGATACTTGCGTAAAAAAGAAATGAGGGAAACTTGGAGGGAAATGAGAAAGCAAAAAGCGAGGGAAAACCAAATGAAACACGACCACGCCATGCTACAACCACAACATAACCTCAACAAACTCCCTCACAACAATCAACGTCAACAGTCACACACACAGTAGCGAATTGGAAGGGTTAGTGCGCACTGAGTGTGTTCGTGTCTTTTCTACCGACTTCTATAAGAAAGAGATAAAAAAACATTTTTCTGCACTGGTTCTACCAATAGAATTCGCTGAATAGCATATTCGTTTCCCCACGCGGCGATGCAATATTTATTGTTGTCCCTTACTAATACTAAACTAATGCTAGAATTTCGAAACAAAAAAAATACAGGAGTGAGTGTATTTGTATTTACTCTTTTCCTTTTTCCCGTTGAGTTACTCGGAGCTGCTCAAAGTCAGAAGCTTGAACGTTTTTCGTTCGGTGTTTGTTCGGTGTCACTCGATGTATAAAAGGAATACAGTAATTTCCGCATTCACCAAACCGTTGACCAAACACAAAAACAAACCAAATACGTCCCCTTTCTGGCCTTTCCACAGTTTCTACCGTTTATTTCTATACTATTTGAAAGTCAGAGATGGAACTATGAGTATGAACTATGGGAGTTTTCCATTTAATTTTTATTCAAAGATGTGTTTTCAAACGCATCAAAGTTTTGCTGTAGTAAAAATTAAAAAACAGGATGTCGAAAAAATGCGAGGGTAGGGGTATTATTCGCATTCGATTCGATCAAAATTTTCGTGAGTAGTTACAAATGCGAAAAAAAATAATGATTTGTATCATCACTTTGTCTCCTATTCACTATAGAATACAGTATACACGGCACAACCCTAGGAATTCTAGGAATACATTCAAAACACATTGAAAAAAAAAACCTAATTCAAAAAACCAGGTTTACTGAACCACAAGCAAAATACGTGAATATTACATGATATATATTGACGTCAATGTGTATTACATTTATCACCAGAAAAACGCGTCAATATTACGTGATAAAAAGCACGTCATTTGAACGGCATTTATCACACGTCAATATGTCGTCAGTTTTTGGTCAGGTGACGAGTATTGACGAATTATCACCATATAAGGACGTCAATATGACGTACCCTTGCTGGCTGGGATAATGTCATTCCATTTCTATTACACCATTCACTTAAAGCATTTAAATCTTCTTGGATTTTCAAACAATCATTCAAATCTTCAATAACTCTGAAAATCTTTAGGTCGTCTGCATACAAAAGACATTTGGAATATTTCAAGCACTCTGTTACATCATTGATGAAAATATTAAATAAAAGTGGACCCAAATGTGAACCTTGCGGAACGCCAGAGGGGACCAATATCTCTTCAGAAACAAAACTGCCTACCTTCACCTGTTGTTTTCTGTTGGTCAGATAACTATGGAACCATTGCAGGAGATTGCCAAACACACCATACCTCTCAAGCTTTCCCACAAGCAGAGTGTGGCTAACCTTGTCGAAAGCCTTTGAAAAGTCTGTGTAGATGGCATCCACCTCGTTACCCCCTTCAAGAGAACTATTCAAGAAATGCTCATAAACAAGCAAGTTACTCACGGTGGATCTTCCAGCAATAAAGCCATGTTGGTTTTCATTTAAAATTGATTGTAGTGCAGTCTTGATTTTAGAATCTATAATAATCTCAAAAACTTTTGCTATCAAAGACATTTTGCTTATTGCCCTGTAGTTAGTAACATCACTTTTTTCGCCACCTTTAAATATAGGAGTTACAAATGACTTTTTCCACACATCTGGATAGATACCAGTTAACATTGACTTAGAAAAAATAATGTTTAAAATAAAGGTCAAAATACATACACAATTTTTCAAAAATATCACAGTTATGTTATCAGGCCCTGCAGACAAATGGTCTTTAAGGCATTGTAGACATCAATTTCATTAAAATCACAAGTACTTATTGATAACGACCTAACTACATTAAAATTATAAGTATCACAATTATTATTATCACCATAAACAGTTGAGAAAAAGTCACTAAAATAGTTTACCGTAATATTTCCATCATCAGAAGATTCAGTCTTGTAAAACATGGTTTTAGGGATATCAAAAGTGTTATTTTTTTTCTTTACAAATTTCCAAAATTCCTTACTATTTTGGGTAATGCAATTTTCAGTTTTCGTGATGTGTTCATGGTAGGCAACTTCAGACAAGCGCTTGCATTCAGCTCGTAAATCAGAGAAATATTTGTAGTCATTCACATTGTTCGATTCGTTAAATATTTTATGAGCCGCCCTTTTCCTAAGAATACATTCCTTCAGAGAATCATTGTACCATGATGGAAATATTGGCCGTTTTGATATTTTCTTTGGAACAAACATTTCGAAGCTATAATACACTATCTCATAAAATATGTCCACATCAGTATTTACATCATCTGAGCTCAGAACCTGAGACCAGTCAAAAGTACCAAGAAAATTATTCAGACTGATGTAATCACAATTTTTAAAATCAAAATATTCATGCGACGAGTTTAAGGTCTCAGATTGATGACTGATACGAATACTGAAGGACAGAGCCGGGTGGTAGTTGTCAAGGGGTAGTAGAGGTTCAGACATGCATGAAACGTTCACAGAGTGAACATTAGTCACTATTAGATCTAAATAGGCACCAAAAATATTAGCAATAGTGTTTTTCTGATTTAAATTTAGGTATGCAAAAAAGTCTGAAAGAACTCTACACTGTGGTGACATCACACCAACCGCCCTAGTCCCATACTCATCATTTTCCCATTCCACACCTGGAATGTTAAAATCACCACAAATTACAACATCATTACATACAGTCTTCTCCATTACATTTTCGACTATTTTACAAAAAGATTCATAAAGTTCTAAGTTTGATTTAGGAGGTAAGTATACAACACAAATTAGAATCTTACTTGCTCCTTTCCCTAAAAGCACAAACAAACATTCAATTGACCTATCATCACAAATAACTCTAGTCACAGGTACTGAATACTTAGCTGCTAAGAGTAATCCTCCATCTCTTGATTTGTCACTTGTTTCATTGGTTCGGTCACATCGAAAAACATTAAAACCTTCAAGTCCTATTTCCGCATCCTGAATATCATCATTGAGCCAAGTTTCCGTAAAGATAACAATGTCAAATTCAAATTTTTCGTGAGATGTCCAAATATCACGGAGTTTAGTCCTGATTCCTCGCACATTTTGATAGTATAAAGAAACTGACTGGTCCGTTGAATTTAAAACCTTCTGTTTCCTGTAGGTCGTCGTTGAAAATTTGAGGAATTTGGAGTGGACCTGTGATGGTATCCCTGTTTAAATCCATTACCGTTATGGTATTGACCTTGCATGGGTTGAGCTCTTCCATAATATTCATTCCTCCCGAAATGCCTTTGATCACCATTGTTGAAATTGGTGTTATTGTAGTTGTTGTTGTAGTACTGGCCCCTTCTAACAGTATTACTTCTAATGTCAAAGCCTGGTGCCCCCCTTTCAAAATCGAATTTTCGAAAAACTATGTTTTCTGGCCAGAATGATTCGGTGTCGAGGCTATCACAGAATTTCGAATCAATGCCCAGTTTGAATGTCTTAATATACAAAAGGAACAGCAAAGGGTCCCAAAGTGCTTCCCTGCGGAACACCATTATCATTCGAGAGGTCTGGAGACGTTTCTCCTTTAACTCTCGTTACCTGTTTTCTATTTTCCAGATAATTTTTCAGCCACTCTAATGCATTCCGCACTATTCCATACTGCTTTAATTAATTTTTCAGGTTCTCGGTATTTCTTGTCTCAAAGGCTCGTTTTAAGTCCAGGAACACAGCCTCAATCGCATAATTGTCATCCAAGGGATATTTCCATTTGTAAATTATATTCTGGATAGCAGACTCACAACTATGTTTCTTTCTAAAGGCTGATTGATTATCAATCAATATATTATTTTGGATAATAAAATCAAGCAGCTGTCCATAAACCACCCTTTCCAATATTTTTTCTGTGGCAGGCAACATATTTACTGGTCCTAAATCCTTTGCCTCTATGGATCTCTTGACTTTCTGAATTGGAATCACTGTTGAGACCTTCAGTGTGGATGGCACCTGACAGCTTTTTAACGATGAATTAATAAGATTTAAAAGAGGATCTTTAATTGATTGAAAAGTATTCTTCACAAATTGAGAGACAATCTTGTCCGGACTTTCCTTATCTGGCAATGAAAAAACAATATCCTCCAATTCTTTCATGTCAATCAGCTTGAAAGTACTCAACTGTTGCAGCTGATTCTGTTCCATTCCTTCCTCCGAAACTTCCACAGTTGAACCATCCACTCTATCACATCCCATCTTACTCACTATGATATTCACGCTCTCTATAAAGAACACATTAGGTTTTTCTGCCATATCCTTTGGTGATATGCTAATATTATTATCTTTTTTTACCCTATCAATTGATTTCTTATTTCTGTCAGTTATTAAGTAACTTAATGTTTCCCACATTTGTTTTGGATTATTCCTAGAATATTCAATCTAATTTTGGTAGTACTTTGTTTTTTCTTCTCTAATCTTCCTTTACTACCTTGTTTCTATATTTTTTATATTCTTCCCTATCTTTTTGGTTATTTGTAGTTTTAATTTTTTTATAACTTTCATCCCTGTCCGCAATTGCTTTTCTTATATTTTCGTTAAACCTCTCTCTATATATTTTCTTTATTACTCTGTTTTCTCTTGGTGCGACTTGGTTTAAAATATTCAATAATGTTTCCGGAAATATTTGATACTTTGAATTTATATATCATTATTTCTATAATCCCAGCAAACCAGTTGTAATCTCCTATTGATTTTATCAAAATTTATCTTTCCCCTTGTGTTAATAAATAAGTCGTCCTTCCATGTCCCTGTAGGCTGCAGATGTACCTGCACTATACAGGGTATCCTTAGGTAAACTGACACATTTTGCAGGTAAATATCCCGAAAACGGGAAAAGATAACGAGATGCGGTTTGTTCTGGGAGAATAAGGATTTTTTGAAGTTTTTTTTCACGTTATTGCCGAATCCTAAAATTTGCTCAAATTTGATTTAACAGACATGCGATTTTTTGAAATAAAATGACTGCCTTATTTTTAATGAAACGCCCTGTATATTTTGTCATCGCCAGAAAGCTTGATTTTTCTACTTTACAAAAATGTGTATTTTTTTTTCAATTATCTTGACCTTGCATCGTGAAAATTGCACTTTGTCGAAGGGAATACCATCGACTAACCAAAAAAAAAATTGAGAATTAATTTGTGTTTAATACTTTTATTAACTAATTAGCGCATAGTTAACTAATAATACAAGTATTAAACACAAATAAATGCATATAAAACACAAATTAATTATTATCATTTTTTTTTTGGCCAGTCGACGGTACGCTCTTCAAACAAGTGCAATTTTTACGATTTAATTTCATGATAATTGGAAAAAATCAAACATTTTTGTATAGTAGAAAAGTCACGCTTTCTGACGATGACAAAATATACCGGGTGTTTCATCAAGAATGAGGCAGTATGTAATTATTTCAAAAAATTCAATGTCTGTAAAACCAAATTTCAGGATTCGTCAATACTATGAAAAAAAACTTAAAAAAATCCCTATTCTTTCAGAACAAACCGCATCCCGTTATCTTTTCTCGTTTCCGAGATATTCACCTGTAAAATGTGTCAGTTTATCTAAGGACACTCTGTATAATGATCACTTATCATTGGCGTCTCCACCATCACCAAATCTATTAAACTCCCTCCAGTATCCGAAGGCCGAAGAACACATCATTGTGAGTCAAAACATGTGATAATAAATAATTTGTGAACTTTTACTAAAGCCTTTTCATAAAGTATATACTCAAAGCAAACCACATATTCAATTCGTAATTGAATCAATTTTTCTCATTATTTAGAGCTGCTGTTATATTTCCGATTTTTGATTTACATATTTTATTTATCTTATTTTTTTTTTATCTCAGAAAAAGGACCAATTCTCAGTCATCGATGGAAAATTCTATCAGCAGTCAAACGAGCAATGCGGATATAGCCAAAGATTGGGAGAGTAAAAGTTTGATGCATCTACGAAACCTTGTGCAGTCGAAAGACAGCAAATTTAATCTGAAAACCGTCCCGAAAATGTCTCAACCCCATTTTATAACGCTGTGGAAAAATGTCTACGATATTTTCCAAACTGAACCTGAGGATTTGGTTAGTACAATATTCTGTTACAAAAATAAATTAAAATTTAAATGTCGTTTTTGCTTCTATTTTAAAGGAAACCTACCACGCGATAGCTGATGTAGGAACACTGCTACTAGAACTAGGAGACGTGGGCAAACAATTTTTTGTTAATAGAGATGAAAGTGAGGATAGTTTAGCCTCAGCAGCAGCTGCTGCTTGTGTAACGTCATCTGTCCCAGATGGGGAAGAGGTATGTATATATTTTCAATTTCATATTGCATTTTTTGAAAATAATGAATTACACTTTCATTGGCAAAGTTTTGTTTATTTATCCAACCTTAAACTTTGACCATTTTTTCAACAGACTCCAGACAAAAACGGCAATCCTTCTACGCCAAAAACAGAAATCCAATGGTACATCACAGTTCAACAGTTCCTGGCTTCGATTCTGAACGCTCAACCTCTAGTCGACTTGTTCTCTAAACGTCCTTCATTGAGCGAGAACATTAGGCTTTTGAAAGGTCGCAAAATTAATCGTTACAGTTCTTTTGTTGAAATACCTGCTACTGTTCAAATTTAAATTTTCTAATTAATATATTGGGTAAAAACACCCAATAAAATTGTCATTTCAAGTAATGTTATATTTTATTCTTGTTTCAAATAATAAAAAAAAAACTAAAAAATAATTTGTGCGAAATCTTTCTGTTTAATTATTTACACTGGTTGAATTTCTTAGGAAGGCACTTCTCATTTTTTAAATTATTGGCACTGCAGTTAATTTATAATTGGCACGAGTTTAATTTGTTAGCACCTTGGAAATTATTGCCCTCATCATTCAAAAGAACTGAACAATAATTGGTTGATCCAGGAAGTTTTTTTTTTTCTCAAAGATAAATAGAAATAAGTCTCTAGTCAGTCAGCTATCCATATAAAATATCAAAAATTACATATTCAAATAAAAATAAATGCTTGTATGTTCATGTGCAAAATACTTTATTACTGCAGTGCAACATGCCCCTTTCTAAATTATTTCATTATAATTATCTATAGAGATTCAATGGCAAGAGAAGAAAGGTAAGCTCAGTGAAGTACATATAAACAATTATAATATTATTTCTCGCCTTTTATTTCATCATTAAAATTATGTAAATATGTAAAGTTCTTGCACACCCAATTGAAAAAATATTAGGCTGTAACAGGTGACGGGCTGGCAAATTGATTGGAAGAAATATTCATGCTATTTCTTGAATTGAAATTACAAAAAAAAAAAATAATGAAAACTGAAGCAGCAAACAAAAAACTTGAGCAAAATTAAAATTAAAAGCATCACCAAATGATTTGGCCTCGAGCAACCTGACTGCACAGTGCAGTGATTCTTCGTAAATTCCGAAATAAAATGCTCAGATTATCTATCTCACAGATGGCCAGTCATTTCTGAAAGTTACTTGCTTTGAGTGATCCATATTATCCATTTGATCAGCAAGAGTTTTTCTATAGTCAAATAAATAAACCTGGTCTCTAATTAAGCTGTTATTAGTCGAATTGGGTTTGCAAGAACTTTAAAACTTAGGGTTTTTTCTATGAAGACGATAAAAATATAATTCAGTCTAGAGAAAAACGTTTATTGGGCAAGATGTTTTGACAACAAAAAATATATTTTTGTAATGATAAAGATAAACATTGTGCAATATTAGCCTGATTATTAATTAATTGAGATTAAGTTTTTATGTTAGTATGATGAAAAAATCATTTCAAGGAGTTTGTTAATATATTGGACTTGGATTTTGATTGAATTCTCTCATTGTTGAGATTTGCGAGTTTGAGAGGTAAATTTTGCAAAATATATTGGTGTGGTGAATATGTCTGGGTAATACCAAAGATTAGGATATAGTAATCCATTAATAATTTATATAATTTTCTAGTCGTTTAGGACACAATATTTACTTGGTGCTCTATATGTCTTGTAACAAAAATCAGAAACGATTGGTATAGACAATAATAACATGATATCTCGATATTAGCCCCTTGGCAAACCAAATAAAACAGCCCCATCTTGCTTGCTCAGCTCATGCGTTGAATGAATCTAGGAGACACAGCTCAGCTCTTTGATGCTGATTTGTCTCCAAATAAAAATGTTTCCCGGAAGCAACATGATGCAGTTTTATGAAAAAAATAAGTGGGCGAATTGGGTATAATTTATATATCTGATCAATGGACTGTTTCACTAGAATTTAACTACGTAATTTAAGTGTAAAATCCTTAAGCCAGGGACTATTTTAGGCATATATACCAAAAAAAAAAAAGATCTACAATGTTAAATAAGTTCTTTCCAGGCACTTCAAAACTGGCCAAATTCAAAACGATTAAAACGCGTCAACTGATGACGCCATACGAACAATTTTCGTTTGCGAGCAGCTGACCGGCTCGGCTGTGTTGCTGTCTAATAAAAGGTTCGAATGCGCTGTTGTCGGTTGTGACTAAATATAGTCCGACGTAAAAAAAAAAAAAAAGATAAATATAAAAAATAAATTTAAATTGTGTTAAAGCATAATTAAAAAAAAAAAAAAAATATTAAATCTTGAATCCATAATTAATTAATTTAACTATTTTTCATGGTATTTTGCCAACATTTTTTATCTATTACAAATTTTGCTTTATCCAATTATGCCAATTTCAAAAATTAGTGAAACAGCCCATTATAATAAACTTCCAACTGCTTGGAAGAAACTACTTCGATCCCAACATTGAAGGACTCGTGATCACAATATGGAGAAGTGAGTAGTGACCTGAAATTTTGATTATATGATTAGAATAATAGCATGGTAAATGTGGATTTACCATTGATAGTCTTGAGAACCGACAAAGTATTCGATTTTCTCGTAGAATGTGGTTTAACTCATCATCCAATACAGGAATTTCAAAAACGGGGTAACAGTTCGATTAAACCGTCGGTCATTAAAACCATTGAATTGACTGTAGACGGGCTTCCTTGGAAGAATTTGGACGTTGGGACCTCAAGCTTACGGATAAATTCCAGGGTAGCCTGCCAAATCTTTTATTGAGGAAAATCTTACCATATTTCATCAATACATAATCATTATATTTCTGGTACAAGACACGGTGAATTTATTTAACGACTTCTCAATAAATTATAAACTCAAATATGTAATATTTGCACACCAAATTTTGCAACAATCTACAGGCATCAAAATCCCTGCGAGGAAATTAGTTTATTCATCATATTCCTTCATTTTTAAATATGTTATTTTAAGAAATGATTTTTGTACCATTCCAATTCTAATATTAGTTAATTGTTTGAATAAATATATTGAATAAAGAAAATATTGTTGCCATTTTAAGATGATTTTTAACATAACTTGAATTAAGCTTTGAAATATACTTATTTATGTTAGAAAACTTTTTGTTTCAATTAATTACTTACCAAAAACCTAGAAACTATCCTTAAAATAATACAAAAAATTTATTTAAATTATTACTAAATTTAATTTCAAAAAAAAAACTTTTAAAATTAAAAAAATAAATAGTTCAAGAGGACATACATATACAAACAGTAAAATTGATAAAACTATATACAAGGTGTATAAATATAGACTAATAAAAAAAATTGGCAGCAATCAACAACAATTATTCAGCTTCAATTATTGCTAAAATAAAATATTAAAAATAGCACTTAAAATTACAAAAATAAATATTCTCAAGACATATAATATGTACATTTCAAAATAAGAGGAGTGAAATTGTAAAAATAAAGAGAATGTGTATAAATATATCTTTTTTTAAATTATTTGAGCAATTACAAAACAATTTTTACAACCCTCATAATAACATAAAATACAGTGTCTTGTTTTGTACAAGGTCTGTTCCTTAAAAAGAAACAAGCCCTGTACAATCAAATAATTTTTATGTATTGTTTCAAGATAAAATAGGTTCAATATCTATGTAGCAAATTTATTTGAACTGCATATTGGTAAATTAAATATTGAAAAAATAGCTCCTTTAAAATTACAAAAATAAATACCTAGAAAAAAAAATCCCTACACAAAAAGTAAAAACAGTAAAATTCATAAAATTATATACCTACAGTGTGTATTGTGTATTGAATACATATAAGTACCTAATAAAAAAATTGGCAGCAATTAAAAATATAACGATTATTACGCTTAGGTAAATTATCGCTAAAATATCTATTGAAAATATCAATTAAAATTACAAAAATAAATAATTTAAAAAAAAAGACAAACATTTTAAAATGAAGAGAGTAAAATTGTAAAAATATACATACCTATATGAATAATGTGTATAAATATAAAATATTTTTTGCAGAAAATTATGTGAGCAATTACAAAACAATTGGGTCCAATTAACTTTTAACTGCCATAATACCATAAAATATCATTTGGTTTAATAATTATTATATCAATTAATTTGTATTTATTGTTTCAAGATAAAATAGCTTATAATATTATCTATATGAAGCAAATATAAAATAGTGTGACAAACTACAGTTGAAACTCAAAAAAACTATAAGACAATTATTAAGAGAGAGACTCTTAAGAGTTCGTTAGTTACTTTCCATTTCATAGTCAAACAATGATAATAATTATAGATGCTGTTTCCCTGTTTATAAATATTTTACCAATTTCAAGGGAGACACATCACCTGGTTTTGAATATCAACAGAATCGCTGTTATGCCAGAATATGATATTTAATTAACTAGTCGTAACAAAATAATCGTTTTTAAATATAATAATTAGGTGAGACTGATTTAGCCTATAGATACTTGATGGAAACCTATTACAAATTTTGGAGGGAAACAAGAAAGTTTCTAATTTTTTATTTTTTTTTTTGATGCTGACATCCAATAAAATAGTTGAAATCTAAAAACTTTCAATTTCCTTTGAAAAATTCATAATTTGGCATAAGAATTTGCTTATAACTGAACATTTGACCAAAAAATTTTTATGAAAAAAGCCCTCTATATCAAAAATGAATAGAACGTAACAAAAGAAAACTGAAGGGAATGACCTGAAAAATTATTGTATGTATAATTGAATTAGGAGTTACCTATAATGTAAAACAGGTTCAGTGTCACTAACCTTACTTAAACTCGATAAACCAGGATAAAAAATAAAATATATAGTTTAAAGTTATTAGAAGGACTCCTGAACTTTTAACGGTCAGTGTAATTTGAAAAAGCTCAGCTCAACCTCAGTGTTGATCGGACAACTCCAAAGCTATTTCGATATTGAAATATTTACAAGGCTCAAATGATGAGTATGCAGGCTATAGTTACAAAACTTATGTTAAACAATACAACACCACCTCTACTCCTGTTTTCTTATTGATGGTTAACCCAGGGAAAGGATATTTGGTGCTTTTATGTTCGAATTTTACGTTATTTTGACAGTTACAACACTGACACGCGTGAGATATATGTAATATTAAATGTCCTTTGTGATAAATGGTTCATTTTAGATCTGTTGCAAGTGACCCAATAGCACAAACTTACAATATCAGTGGTTAAAGTAATTTCATGAGTTCACTTAGAAATATGCATCTAAAAAATAAATAAAAATAATAACAATAGAAAATTATGCTTAACTAAGCTTCCACATTTGCTTGTTTACTTTTGTCTGCCCTATCTTTGAAAAAACCTTTTTCCGTCTTACATTCCCTAATTGTGACACTTTTTGAATTGACACTTACATCAGTGATAAATACTTGATTTGCCACTGGATTCCTTGCCAACCAATACTCAGAACCAGGACTGGTGAATTCTTCATACTCATTTTCGTCATTGTAGGTATTCCGAGATTGTTTAGGTTGCTTCTTTTCTGGTTTAATCTGAAAGTTGGTCATATTATGTATGTTTTATTAAGAGGCTAATATCAGCAGACAACTAGATGGCGCCATATCCATTTACGACTAGAAATATGAAATTTGTGTAAAGCTCTAACCTCCATTTTTTCTGGTCGTTTTTCGGTCTCAGCGGGAGAAGCTGCCTCTTCTGTTGATACGTGTGGCAATGCAGCATCTGTGATTGTCTTGTTATCTGACGATTGTGTTTTCTCCTAAAGGAAAAATTATAATGAAAGCTCAAAATATCTGTTCGGGTTGAACTGGTTAAAAGTTAATTTTTTTCACAGAAACAAGTGTTGAACATGATAAATTTCTTCTACAATTGTTAGAAAGATTTTTTTTCAGGTAATGACCAACGTGAATACAGGAACACAACGCTCCCTGTTTGGGAATCGACCCACTGAGCAGTGCAGACTTCCCGTGCCAATCCTTGACGCGTTTCGTCCTTGTTAGGACTCATCAGAAGGACATAGGCTGAAGCTCCCTGTCCAAGCAAAATTGAACTTCGTTGACCAGTCAGAAACAACTACTCCGAGGGCAAATACCCCTACCGGCGTTGAACTACACTGATTGGTCTGAGCTTTCGTTGGCAATGAAAATTGTTAAAAAGATTTTTTTTTTTTTTGTTTCTGACTGGTCAACGAAGTTCAATTTTGCTTGGACAGGGAGCTTCAGCCTATGTCCTTCTGATGAGTCCTAACAAGGACGAAACGCGTCAAGGATTGGTACGGGAAGTCTGGGTCCACTGCTCAGTGGGTCGATTCCCAAACAGGGAGCGTTGTGTTCCTGTATTCACGTTGGTCATTACCTGAAAAAAATCTTTCTAACAATTTTCATTGCCAACGAAAGCTCAGACCAATCAGTGTAGTTCAACGCCGGTAGGGGTATTTGCCCTCGGAGTAGTTGTTTCTGACTGGTCAACGAAGTTCAATTTTGCTTGGACAGGGAGCTTCAGCCTATGTCCTTCTGATGAGTCCTAACAAGGACGAAACGCGTCAAGGATTGGCACGGGAAGTCTGGGTCCACTGCTCAGTGGGTCGATTCCCAAACAGGGAGCGTTGTGTTCCGGTATTCACGTTGGTCATTACCTGAAAAAAATCTTTCTAACAATTTCCATTGCCAACGAAAGCTCAGACCAATCAGTGTAGTTCAACGCCGGTAGGAGTATTTGCCGTCGGAGTAGTTGTTTCTGACTGGTCAACGAAGTTCTTCTACAATGTTATTAAGACTGATTTTCATGTCCCAATTAGACAAACTACTATTACCATGAATCATAGGATAAACTATGTATCAGTGTATCTGCAAGCAAGAATATTTAATTTTTCTATTATTTTTATAGTCTCCCAGAAGATGAACTCTTTGTTAAACAGGCAATAAAATGTTGGCAGTTTACATTACATGCAATTTCATAGATCAATTTTTAGATAACCGTATGCAATGTCAATTTCGCCCTTATTTTAAACCAGTTTTAAAATAATTTAACCCTACCTGATTAGATATTGGAGCTGTGGCCGTCAAAATTGTAGGACTAGCTGTAGCTGGAATCACTGTAGTTGTAGCAGGTAAATCCTCTTCAGGCTTAACAGGTTGTTTGGGCTGAGATTTTGGAGACTCTGTGATGTGTTGCTTCAATGTGAATTTCGAAGACTTAGCTGGAGGAGCATTTTCAGTGATCAAGCTACTAGTAGTTATCGTAACACCTATTTTGCCACTTTCTTTTGAAAGAACCTCGGCTTTCCTTTTTGTACCAACATCCAAACGAGGTGGTAAGGGAACTTCCTCTCCTTCTTTTATCAATTTGGAAAGCTTTTCTTCAGTTTCTGGTGGACTAATTGTAGTATCGATATCAAGAGACGGCTTCACCTCTACAAAGAAAGTATGATTAGCAATTGAATTCAAAATATGTACTGAAATTTACCCTTGGATGGTTTTGATCCCTTTTCTTCTGTCTTGTTATCACAGATTATTTCTTTCTCTTCGTTTTTTTCATTTCTATTTTTTTCCTTTTCTTCTACAGGTTCTGTTGGAGGACCTTCATCTTGGCTCTCATCACCGCTTCTTCCTTAAAAGGACCAAAAGAAAAACTCTGTCAGCGTGCCATATTTTAAACAATTATTTAGTTAGATGAAGTCAATCAGCTATGAATGATTAACCGTCGTACCAAACGCATCGCTGTATATCGCTCCATGTAAAGATAAATTAACGGAAAAATTTCGAACAAAAACAAGATGAGTAATGAAAGTGTTTACGGCATTGGACCTGCAAAAAAAGGTAATTAGTTATATCCCGTGAGAACTCCAATTCAGCATTTATATTGTTCTATTCAGCTTATTTTTTATATTATGAAAGGAGTTTTTAGATTTAAGTCAGTTCTATTGTATTAGTCAAATAAAGTTTTTTAAAAACGCTCTCTCGTGTACACCCCTCGTAAGTGGCGCAGTCGGTAGGACTTTGACGGAGACTTCGGTAAAAAACAGTCCAGTTCAGTCGAAAATTTGGATTTTGCGGGCCGTAAAAAACCATCGTCTTTTCGTGCTAACGATTTACCGTCAAATCGAAAAATACGTTCGTGGTATACGAAAGACTTTTGACAATCAGTGAACTCGCGACCAGGGATCGGAACAAAAATCGTCCATTAATCCTATTGGTGCGGATAGCGGAACTACATCGTCCAAAATCCATAGAAGATAAATTCATGTACTTCAAGATTAATCTGGTATTGCTGTAAGTGATCCCATTATTCTTTTCCTTTTATTTTAATATTTTTTGATTTTATTGATATATATTTCGATCTGGAAGGTGATAACGAGCTTGACAATCTTATAAACATTTTTAACAATAATTTTCAACCTAATAATCAGATTCAAAATCTTGTTAATATGGCCAACCCAAATTATCAGCTTATTAGATACCAAGCCGATAATATTCCAAATTTTGATGGTAACACCAAAACACTTGGCAGATTTTTAACATCTTGTGAACATTTTCTACAGAATCACCAAAATCGACAAAATGCCGCAGATCCAATAAACATCTGTTTGTTCGATACGGTAATTTGTAAATTGACAGGTAGAGCTGCCGAATTAATTGCTTCTCGCACGGAACTCGATACCTGGCAGAAAATTAAAGATTCGTTAATTGTCACATTTTCTGACCAAAGAACTGAAGATTGTCTTGTCCAAGATATCATTAATATGAAACCGAATAAGAACGAATCCTTACATTCTTTTGGATTAAAATTGCAAGATTCTAGAAGTTTATTATTTGCTAAAATTAATAGCTCTAACGATCCTAATAATATGAAAATTCTAAAAATCGAACAATTTGATAATCTGTGTCTAAAAACTTTTATACTGGGTGACTTTAATGTCGACTTCTTAAATAATAACATTCAACGAGATTTACTTCAGCACACAACGGATTCCAATGGTTTTGCAATTATTAATCAGACTGTTCCGTCAAGAGTGACAAGCAACACTAGTACTTTGATTGACTATGTGATAACAAATAATCTAAAGTACAGCAACAAACTTTCGTTGACGGATTGTGCTTTGTCTGATCATCGGCTGCAGTTTTTGAGTGTGGACCTGAATAAAAAGGGCTATCTTCATAGTCGTACTTACACTTTAACCAATCTAAATAAAGCTGCATTTCAAAGAGGCTTAATACAGTTGAATAATGTTTTATGGAATGATCCTAACCTGCTGTGCGATGAAATAATTCGAACATATCTAAACTGTTTATATCATAATTCGTATGTCAGCAGGTTTCGGAAGAATAGCGCACCATGGTTTAACATAAGATTACATCGCTTATTAAAGCAACGTGACTATTATTATAAAAGACATAAATTCTTCCCTAACAGTGACCTTGTACTGAACAGATATAAAGCATCCCAAAAAGAATTAAAAAGTGCCATAGACATATCTAAGAAAGAATATTATACTAGTGAAGTTAATAGGGCAGAGGGCAATAGTAAAAAACTGTGGAATGTACTCAACACTATAATACATAATTTCAAGCAAAATGCAGGAAACATTAAAACTCCTAAACTTTTAATCTCAGACACTTTGGTTTCTGAGCCACTTGAAGTAGCTGATAGCTTCAATAATCAGTTTTCTGGAGTAGCAGCAACTCTTGCAAACAACATAAGCGCTATACCCTCAAACTTCGTATCACAGGCAAACCAAAACATGGTAAGATTGCGAAATTGGGACAATGCAACAATTGATGAAATAGTCAATGTAATAAGGAATCTTAAACCAGGCAAGTCCCCAGGAAACGACAAACTAAGTATCGATATAATTAAAGAATTTTGCTGTGAAATATCTCCACTCTTGTGCATGCTCACAAACCTTACATTCAGAGAAGCAACCATTCCCAATATGTTGAAGATGGCAAGGATCATTCCATTATTTAAGGGAGGAGATAGCACCTCACTAAACAACTACCGTCCGATCTCACTTTTGACTGCTATTTCAAAGGTGTTGGAGACTTGTGTCAATAATCGTCTGAATGCCTTTGTAACTTCAACCAGTTTCTGGTACCCTCGTCAATATGGCTTTAGGCAAAACAGCAGCACAGCGTCAGCAACAACAGATTTGTTAAATAACATAAACAATAGAATTGATAAAAAGTTCAAGTGTGTTTTGGTCTCCTTAGATATAAAAAAAGCGTTTGACACTGTAAACCATCAGGTATTGTTGTCCATTCTTGAAAGGTCTGGTATAAGTGGTTCAGTTCTGCTGTGGTTTCGGGATTACTTGAATGGTAGAACCCAGTTTGTTGCTTGCGGTGGTGAAAGGAGTGCTATTGGAGACATTCAGCATGGTGTCCCGCAAGGCTCTATCCTTGGACCGTCTCTATTCTTGGTCTACATAAACTCCATTTCACACCTTTTACTACGTGGAGAACCATATTTATATGCAGATGATACATGCCTATTATATTCTGGTAGGAGTCTGGTTGAAATGAAAGATGCCATTGAGCGAGACTTGGAGACAGTGAGTGACTGGTTATGCTTTCATAAATTAACTTTAAATATAGAAAAATCTTGTTACATGGTTATTTCCAAGAGTGATGATTGGCCGGACTTAGTGATAACATTTCAAAACCAATTACTACAGCGCAGTTATTGTATTAAGTATTTGGGACTTGACCAATGTAAAGTCAATACTCAAGACTCAATTGGGAACAGCATATCTTGCTTTTGTGTAAAAAAATCGCACCAGCAGTAGGAATCCATCCTAGGCAGAGTAGCAAAATTCTTGCCAATATTACATCGCAAAATGATTTACAATTCTCTAATACATTCCCATCTATCATACCTAACACTGCTGTGGGGAAATGCATCCAAGAATAAATTACACCCATTGTGTGCCCTGCAGAATAGGGCTATCAAGCGCATATTCAATCTGCCTTTCCGTTTTCCCACAATTGATCTGTATAAACCCAACAAAATTTTGGATATATACTCGCTCTATATTTATCAATCCTGTATATTTCTTTATCGCTGCAATTCATCGACTGTACAGACATCAATCACACTTACTCCGGGAAGCATGATTCATCATTATGGCACGAGACCAAATTTCCCAAATATGCCATTCAATAACCAATTCCAAAGACATCAAAATATCAATAATTCCAATAGACCATTCCCATGGGCGTCGTTACGAGGTTTCTCGGGGGGGGGGCAGTAGTATAATAAGACCATTTCCTATGCGCCGCAGGCAACCGCCATAGGCTAATTTTTTTTTGATGCCACGCCCCTTTTTGAGCATTTTAACGTACTTATTTGATATTGATATTTTGTTAAAAATAATGGTATTTTTTTCCGGTTCAGTGTTTTATAATACCGGCCCTAACCTAAGTCAAGTGAAATTCAATTCAGTTGAATGTAATGAAAATGTCAGCCAATTTTTCACAGCACAGCATATTCATTGGAGGTCGTTACTCAAATAGGTAATCGCTAATCTTTCATCAAAATATATGTTTTACTAAAAATACCTACAGACACAATTGCACAAATCAGGGACAAATTACAAGTTTTACAAAAATAGGAACGAAAAACCAAATTTTTCACCATTTTAAAACAAAGATTCACCAAGATTCTTATAGATAAATATTATTGATGGAAATTGGAAACCCGAACAACCAACAACCAGTGTTGTCAATCGGCTGAGAATTCTCCGTTTTTCGGAGAATTTTGGGGTCTGCGGAGAATTGTGCGGAGATTCGCTTATTGCGGAGAATTGTGTGGAGATATTTTTTTATCAATATTTACGTAAAAATTAAAATTTATTCAAAATTTTCAGGTAAAATAAAAATTTAAGAATATATTTGGGTCTTGGGATTCAGAGATTCGGAACAAACAGATGACTTATTGGACATAAATGACATGACATACCATAGCTTTGTTCCAACTTCAATGGTTCCAACCCAGCAGGAAACAGGGAATCGTACATTTCACCGTCAGGATTTTGCGTAGAACGTAAAATTTGTGCGTAGAATCCGAGATTCGTTTACAGTGTGGTTGCGAAACCGTTCTAGAAACGTTTTTTTGGCGGGTTGGAACAGACCTCTTAGTCATCGTCCATCCATTTAATTTAAAATTAATGAATTTCTTGATAATAGATAAATGGTTAATGGGGCACGTTCTAAAGTAAGGCCAACGAGTAACAACAATCATTGACAAACGGTTGGACTTTTTCTCAAGAAACACGAAAATTATCGCTTTGTTCCTAGTTCCTACACAGTAGGAAACCGTACACTGTACCGACACGATTCTGCGCAAAGCACAAAATGTATGTGTAGAATCCGAAATTCATATGCAGAGTGGTTTCAGGACCGTTCATGGGACGGTTTTTGGCTTGTTGGAACAGACCTTATAAAAACGGAGAATTTCAGCAAAATGCGGAGAATTTTATTGGTCAAGGTGGAGAATTTAGGCGCGAAGGATTGGCAACACTGCCAACAACACAACCTCAACGTCCCCAACTCAATTTCAACAACCTGTCCGCCTGTCCCCGCGAATCGCATATTTACACCGTTGCCAGACTATAAAATAAGTACCTAACAAATTTTGAAAAAATGGAAAAAACCGATACGAATACGAACTCTTTTTTAATGCTTTCTTGTTCAAAAGACTATTTCTAGGGGGGGCAAATGCCCCCCCTTGCCCCCCCCAAACGACGCCCATGACCATTCCAAAGACCGAATATCACCCAAAACAATAGTGCTCCAGAACCAATGGACACATCGTCTGGTGTCACTATAAGACCAAATACAGTTCAAAGATCTCGCCTGAATAATTTCACTGTGCAAGAACTTTCGAACCAATCCGCAAATACTTTGTCCCCTAATACTATCACCGAAACTCAAACTCAAGACACAAATATCGATGTTAATTCTACTCCCAATAATGATGAACAATTCGATTTCAGTAATTATTACCAAATGCCAAATTCTGAAATGTTCAACTCATACAATGTTCCATATGAGCCGATTAAACGCGATGGAATTTTAATAACCGAGTTAAAAATGGTATAACCATTCACGTAAACGCGGTTTTGGTTATTTTTGATCATTCCATAGTGACGTCATCATTTGGCCCTTTGTGACGTATTAAATCAGCTGTTTTTATCTTTGGTTCAACCATTTTTAACCTACCTTTGGAGCTAGGTTATTATGTTCTGTCCTTGTCTGAAAAAGTAAATAAAGGAGAAATACCCGATATGGCGGATTTTGACGGGTTTTTCGTTGTTCTGTTGTGTTTTGTGTGTTGTTTTTTGTGCAACCCCAAAAATGAACTTCGAACCAATCGAAAAATCAATCTTTGAGGATTTGATTTAGGTCAACACTAAACTTCACTAAATAATAAAAATAATAATTATGTAGTACTGTACTTCAGGTAAAAATTCAACAAAAAAACAATCACAAGACAGCACAGAACGGAATAAACAAAAAAAATGGGGTTAACGGAATAACCATAGCATAAACGCGAGCTCTCTCAGGTTAATCAAAAAGGGTCGAAAATCGCTGTTTCAAGGATAACCAAAGGACTGACCAACGATATAACCGCGGTTATCAATATTCCATCGCGTTTAATCGGCTATGATTATATGTTTATATTTAAAAAAAATGGTTACCACAAATTTTACTTGTTTAATTTATCTAATAAATTCGACGGTTTGATAGGTGTCGATTTTCTAATCGATATCGGTGCCAAAATAAATCTAAAGAATTTTGCACTCGAAACGTCACAAGTAAACTTACCCTTGCATTTTCAAAACAAATTATTTTTCCCACAAAACACAACGGAGCCCACACAGTCATATGAAACTGTTATACCTCCTCGTGTTTCACAAAAGGTTAAAGTACCTGTAAACAAAACAGATGGAATAGGAATACTAAACCATATTAACTTTGATGATATCGCAGAAATGCCAGAAGCCTTGGTAAAAATTGAAAGTAATTTTGCATTGACAACAATCACGAATTTATGTGAAAATCCAATAAAAATTAGTTTCAACGAACCCTTTGAAGTGGAACCTATAAACGAAATTGAAAATAATTTTATTGAGGAAATGGAAACCGATATGGATATCGAAGTAAATCAACCAAATGATATGAAACTAAAACAAAATTTGAAGAACTTACGTTTAGACCACTGTAATCAAGAAGAATATCAAGCGATTCGAGATCTTTGTTATGAATACCGAGACATATTTTACTGTGAAGGTATTCCATTGACTTTTACGAATCAAATCAAACATAAAATCAATCTTACAAATGAAACACCTATTTTTACAAAGACCTATCGATACCCTGAGATTCATAAGAAGGAAGTCAGCACCCAAATGGACCAAATGTTGAAAAACGGTATAATACAACCATCTAATTTCCCATGGTCTAGCCCAATTTGGATAGTACCAAAAAAGCTAGATGCATCTGGTACAAGAAAATGGAGAATAGTAATTGACTACCGAAAACTTAACGACAAAACAATCGAAGACAAGTACCCGTTACCCAACATCTCTGATATTTTAGATAAACTAGGTAAAGCTCAGTACTTTACGACGTTGGACCTAGCAAATGGTTTCCACCAAATAGAGATGGAACCGGAAGACGTACATAAAACAGCATTTTCCACCGACACAGGACATTACGAGTTCAAACGTATGCCCTTCGGTTTACGAAACGCCCCCGCCTCGTTCCAGAGGGTAATGAACAACGTTCTTCGTGGCCTCCAGAACGAAAAACGACGCCGACCAGTATAGAACGGCAATATTGTTGTCTGTGCAGATAATCAGTGAGATCTCAGAAAAAAAAAGTGCATTTTTAAGTCCTTAACTAATAAAAATCTCTCGACGAAACCGGCCGGTTGGACTTTGGACCCCATCTTATTTTATTTATAATAAATTTACCTCGAAGCTCACGCACTGAAACTTTGCGCTGTTGTCACACTGAATCAATCACAGAATATTAAATGGCTAATTCAAAAACTTGCAAACTTTGTCACCGTAATATTGGCAAGATGAGAATGAAATTAGTATGTGGGATATGCAAAAGTTATTTCCATTTGGATTGTGGGGAAGTAACTGAGATTGATGCCCGAATTATGCAGCAGGATAAAACCTCTTGGTTCTGTGAAGATTGTACTAGCGAGAGAAAAATAAGCGCAGTAAACCAATCTGCTCGACCCCGCAGATCATCCATTCTGCCTACTCATTCAAGCCCAGTTGGAAGGGATGAGGGAGGTATTTATGAACTAAAGAGCATTCTTAGAGAACTGCAAAGCGACGTTAGAGAGATGAAGCAGTCTTTTGAATTTCTCAACGAGAAGTATGAGGAGGAAAAAAGACGCAACAAAGTCATGTCTGACATGGTTTCCGAGATATCCAAAGAAAACGAAATGCTTAAGGTGAGAGTCACTAAACTAGAGCAAACAGTAGGTGTGCAAGAAGCGAATAAAATAAGAAACAACATATGCATCAGTGGTCTGGTACTCAGCGAATCCAGAAACGACTCCACCGCTACAAAACTGGTCACCTTATGTGACTTTCTTGGGGTGCCCACTTCGGAGAGTAAATTCGAAGTTGTCAAGCACTTCAAAACCAACAATACAATAAGGTCCATAGTCAAAGTTGCAGATTTGGATTTGAAACATAAAATCTTAAAGGCTAAAGCTCAAAAGGGAAGGGTTACCAGAAGAACAGTCGGCTTAGATGAATCTGAAATTGTGATCTATGTGTCAGAAGAACTCACAAAGGAAACCTACAATTTCCTTAAGGAATGTAAACGTCTCAGGAGTGAAGCAAACTACAAATACATTTGGCAGAAAAATGGGAAGGTCTTGGCGCGCAAGGCTGACGGAGATGACCATATTGTAATCTCCGACGAAGATCACCTCAGGGAACTTTTGGGTTAGGTATGCCTTAATCCCTTTTCTCTTTGTTTTTTTTATTTTTTTTTTATTGTTGGTTTTTTGTTCAATTACCACATTGTATAAGTGCCATTTAATAAATTTAATTTTCCTATTTTCCGAAAATGAGTTACAAGCAAAAAACTATATTAATAGGTCATGTTAACTCAAGATCTTTTTTTCCCAAATTTAATCAAGTAAAAATCTATTTGGAGGATAACGATTTTGACATATTAGCTATAACTGAGACCTGGCTAACTGACTTAATAAATGATTATAGATTAAACATAAATGGCTATAAACTGCTACGAATTGATCGTAGGCATGGCAGAGGTGGGGGTATCGTTTTGTATGTTCGAACTAGTTTACAATGCGAAATAATAAACAATCATGCAACTAACCATTTTGAGCAGTTATGGATAGAGCTCAAAGAGCATAATATCAAATCCATCCTGGGGGTAATCTATAGGCCTCCAGGGTTTGCAAACTTTGATGAGTTCCTCGAAGAATTTGAGTTGAATGTATCCCAAAATCTGCTGGGATCTGACAATCTTATTTGTCTTGGAGACTTCAATATCAATGGGTTAAACTTAGACTCGGTATATACCCAAAGATTTTTTTCAGTTCTGCAGTCTTACAGTCTGGAACAAATTATAAATGAGCCTACTAGATTCGGTCAAACAAGTGCAACTCTGATAGATTTAATTATATGTTCCAACTCCGAGTTTCTGGTGAGTAGTGAAGTTGATCCTACCCTCAATATCTCTGACCACTTGGTAATTAAATGTAAATTGAAACTACAAGTATTCAAACAAAAACCTTTTTTCTTGAGTTACAGAAACTTTCGTAATTTTAATAAGGAACATTTTTGTGATGACCTGTTCTCTATTCCGTTCTATGAAATATTTTACACTTGCGACATTAAGGGAAAACTGGAATTGTTTAATGCCTATCTGACTGAACTTTTTAACAGACATGCACCGATGCAAACAGCTCGTATCTCGAAAAGAAAAGCACCCTGGCTTACCCAGGAAATAAAAAACGCTATGTGTCTCCGAAATAGAGCCCTCAATAAATATAAAAGAAATAAATCTCCTGAGAACTGGCACGAATACAAACTGATTCGTAACCAGGTGACGATTGCAGTAGAGAATGCCAAAAAGCAGCACCTTACCAATAACATTACAGTCTGCAACTCGAAAAACAACTGGAAAGTCTTGCGAGATCTAAGCATATACTCCAAACCCAAAAACACAATTCCGGCTACCCTAGCAGATGTGGAAAAGATCAATCGGTACTTTATCGACGCAGCCGCCTCAAAGAATCCAGATCCAGACACCTTAAATTTTTATCTGCAAAATAAAAGTGACAACGCAGGTGACTTTAATTTTAACTTGGCTAGCGTGGACGATATTGAACGGGCATTGATCTCCATAAAATCTGAGGCCATTGGTACGGATGGTATTGGAATTAAAATGCTCTGTCACTGTTGTCCACATATCCTACCAATTATTTTACATCTGGTCAATAGCTGTATAGAAACCCATACGTTTCCTGATCTATGGAAAATATCTATTTTGCTCCCGATTCCAAAGGTTTCAAACCCTAGCGAACTGAAAGACCTTCGGCCCATAAGCATCTTGCCAACTATGTCAAAGATCCTCGAAAGAGTCCTAGATGCTCAGATACATAAGTACATTGAAACCCATAAGCTGCTACCACCCATACAGTCAGGATTTCGCAAGGATCACAGCTGTACCACTGCTCTCTTAAAAGTGACCGACGACATCTTGGAGGCAACAGACCGTGGTGAACTTACTGTACTTGTTTTGTTAGACTACTCCAAAGCATTTGACAAGTTGAATCATCAGTTACTTTTAGCTACTCTAAAATATCTAGGTTTTAGCAGTGATGCCTGTCTTATGATAAAGAGTTATCTCACGGGACGCCTACAGTCTGTGAAACTGAATGGACAAGATTCCAAGCCAATAAAAAATAGTAGTGGCGTTCCACAAGGGTCTATCTTGGGGCCTCTTTTGTTCAGTATCTATACATCCCAGCTTTGTACCTACCTTAGATATTCAAAATTACATCTTTACGCTGACGATTCGCAAATATATCTGAGTTTTAGGCCAGAGCAAATTTTGGAGGGGAACAATAAACTTAATGAGGATCTTGGACTCTTGGTGAATGCCTCCGGAAAACACTGTTTGGAATTGAACCCCAAAAAATGCCAGATGCTTGTGTTTGGGCGAAAATCTATAAGAAATCAATATTCAAACCACTTCAACATTTTTGTAGGTACAGAGAAAATAGAAAACTCCGATAATGCCAGGAACTTGGGTCTAGTAATGGACGTAGACTTAAGATTTACAACACATTTAAATCATTGCATCAAAAAGGCGTTTACCAATCTAAAACTTATATATAGCCAACGCCATTTATTAAATATGGAACTAAAAAAACTTTTGTGCGACAGCTTAGTTCTGTCACAATTCACATTTTGCGACGTAGTATATGGCCCATGTCTCCTTGAATATGATGCGAAACGTATACAGCGTATTCAGAACCACTGTGTCCGGCTTGTTGGTGGTATAAGAAAGTATGATAGGGGTGTGACTGCGAAAATGAAAGAAATTGGGTGGCTTTCCATGAAAGAGAGAAGACTGCTTCATAGTCTAGTATTATTCAACAAAATAATCTTTAAAAAATGTCCAAACTATTTATACCAAAAGATAAAGTTCAGGTACGATGCTCATAACCTGGATTTAAGGCATAAACAAAAAATATCCCCGCCTTTGCATAAAACGGAACAATATAAGGGATCATTTAGTTACCAGGTCTATAGTTGTTACAATAAAGTTCCAGATAGTTTGAAGGGACGTGATAGCTTGAAATTTAAAAATGAAATTTGTGGGATCATCTCATTATTCCTATGAATAATTATTGTACTCATTGGTTTATTTATTTGTTTTTTACTGCAGATACAGAATATGTTCTTTCGATCTTATAATATGTATATTAACATCATTTTAATATTATTGAAAATTATGTACCTCATGCTTAAATGTCTTTAATAGACGTTGCCACAACAAGTTTGGGTTAGGTTAATTTAGCTTAGGAATAATAGGTTAAGATAGGAAGCTAAGCTTCAACTTCGCCTTTTGTAATATTACATAGTATTGCAATAAAGTCATTATTATTATTATTATTATTATTATTAAATATGTTGCGTTTACTTGGATGACGTCATAATATACAGTAAATCACTCCAAGAGCACATAGAACGCTTGAGATTAATATTTGAACGGTTCAGACAATCAAATTTCAAGATTCAATTGGATAAGTCCGAATTTTTACACAAAGAAGTCAATTACCTTGGACATTTAATAACCAAAGAAGGCGTGAAACCCAACCCAGATAAGATAGAAGCTGTAAAAAACTTTCCTATACCCAAAACACCAAAAGATATCAAATCATTTTTACGACTAGCTGGGTACTATAGAAGATTTATAAAGGATTTTGCTAAAATTGCCAAGCCAATGACATTATGTCTTAAGAAAAATGCTAAAGTCGAACATTCCCCAGCATTTTTATCGTCATTCAACCATTTAAAAAATCTTCTAATTAATTCCCCAATCCTTAAATACCCTGATTTCACACAGCCCTTCGTATTAACAACCGATGCTTCTAATACAGCTCTCGGTGCAGTTTTATCTCAATCAACGCCCCCCAACGATCATCCCGTAGCGTATGCTTCCCGCACGCTAAATGAAACAGAACAGAGATACTCGACAATTGAAAAAGAATTGCTCGCTATCATCTGGGCATGTAAATACTTTAGGCCGTATTTATTTGGAAGGAAATTTCAAATATATACAGATCACCGACCTTTAGTCTGGCTTTTCAATGTTAAAGAGCCAGGTTCAAAACTTATTCGATGGAGATTAAAGCTTGAAGAATACGACTACACCATTATATATAAAAGCGGCAAACAAAATACAAACGCCAACACTCTTTCAAGAATTCCACTGAACGCTTTAGAAACAGAATCTCTCCTTAATAATCCACGAGATATTACAACTGACATCGATAAATTTCTAAACGAAATCGATAAAAATCTTCTAGAAAAAGTTCACACTGAAGAATATAACAAAATCATAAACGAACTTAATCGACCGGTTGAATTACCTCCAGTGCCTTCAACTTCTCAAGAGCCTTCAACCTCTCTAATAAAAATTCTTGAAGATATCCGAAATAAACCACCAATTGATAATACGTCCCGTACTGACACTGCTCATAGTACAAACGCAGACGAAACCCTAAATGAAATCCCAATATTAGACGAAATAATTAACAACAAAACGAATCAATTAATTGTGAAAAAATCACCATACGACGCCTACATAAAAAGAGAATTTGAAATCTTCGACGGTAATAGGATAATCCGAGCAACGATTCCCACGAAACAAGAAGCGATAGTACATTTTCTGAAAGAAAACCTCACAGAGAAAACTACCTATGTGCACTTTTTATCAAAAGAATTACGTGTTTTATTTCAAGAAGCATTATCTAAACACTTTTGTAATTTCAAGCTTGTAGAATGCACAAAACTCATTAATATTGTTAAACCAGAGGAAAGAGAAATGATAATAAGATTTTCACACGAAGGCAAAACTAACCATCGAGGAATACAGGAAACCCTAAAACGCCTGAAAATTAATTATTATTGGAAACCCCTGAAATCTGACGTCACTAAATTTATTAATGGATGTGAAATATGTCAAAGAACTAAGTATAACAGGAATCCACCAGACCAACCTCTTGTATTGACAGAAACACCTTCAAAACCCTTCGAGATTATTCACCTCGATACACTCCTTGTAGATAAACAAAAATTCCTAGTAATTACTAGGAATTTTTGTATATAATTATAGACAAATTTTCCAAATATGGACAAGCCCTTCCTTGCGTTGGCACAGCCATATCAGTATCCCAAAATCTAA